TGCCAGCGACTTGCACACTTGACCAAAGAGGACAGGACCCACACTGTCATTTAGTGAAGCTTCTATTACTTCTTATCTAGTGAAACAAGGCCTTACTACAGTGTTACTTCTTTGAAATACACAATTCAGAAGACCCTGACTAATAATTCCTCAAGTTGAAAGAATAATCTAATCAACCATCTTGTTGAATTTGAATCTATGTCCCCAGAGTTTTATAAAAAATTTCATTAGCATATAGTAGTTTGATATTTTAAAATTCAAACTAGAGCTTTCCTAAAGGCATAAGAAGGGAACAGCAGAAACAAGCACCAGGAAGGTGTATCATCCCTCTCCCTGGTAGCATTATATAAAGGACAGCCAGTTTTTGTTAGATTCATTTGCTGAAAGGAAATTTCTGCATAAGCTTTTTTGGCAGATGGAGCACATAAAATTTAAATTCTTAACGAAAAGGAGATTTTAAAGTGTTTATGATATAAAGAAGATATGCCATTTCTAAGCTGGTGTGGCTGTGCCTATCTGTAGTCTGAGCTACTGAGGAGGCTGCGGCAGTGTTGTGACAAGTTGGAGGCCACCCATCTAGAACACAAGCACAGGAACCCCAAAGTCACCCCCTTTCTGAGTAAAGGAAAACAAAACTCACATGTTGGGCTTCCATGTGTCCAGTACTTTTACAAGTTGTCTTGTTTACTATTTCCCAGGTGCTCTGTGAGGGGACATCACTACGGTGAAGACAGGAACTGATGCTCAGAGGATTAGAAGAATGTGCCAAAAGTACACCTTGGGTTAGTGGCGGAGCAGGGCTTCCTCGCCCTAAAACACTCACACTTCGTTAGGGCATACTTGCTAAAAACTGACTTCTCAGCTAAGAAAACATTCTGAGAAAGCACAAAAAAGTCCTCTACATGGCACTCTTCTGGAGTGCCACAAAGCCAGCCTACACTGCACGCAAGCACAAAGGGCATTAAAACAGCAACAAGGTTTAGCAAGAAGGAGAATTCTTAACTCTAGATAAAAAAAAGCAGCCACAAAGCTCACAGCCAGCTCACTGCCATTTTCTACACAAGTCCACTACCTGACCTAAGCTACCACCAGACTTCCACTAACCTCCACCACATCCACCTCTTCAGTCCCCATGCAAATAACAGAATACACTTGTTCAAAGGACACCACCTTATTTTACAACTAGCAGCACAGTAATAAATATCCAGGAGAAAAATACCAAACTCCAGGTATGTTTGAGGCTCTTGTAGTGGGGACAGCTAGTTACCCGCAAAAGCCACTTCCCCCTTTTTCCTCTCAATGAATCAGGACTCTGCCCAAGAAGACAATGTGCTGAGCTCCATGCTGCATTTCTTGGCTTTCTTTGCATCTAGGGTTGGCTGCAGTAAGAAATAAGTAGAGGCTCCAGGGTATCTCAGTGTGAAGTTACCATACGGCCCAGCCTTCACTTGGGCCTTCCCATTCTCTATGTATGCCAAGACTCTGAACAGGGTGACTGGAGATCCTTGTATTTACCTTTCCATAAAAGGAAAAAGAACCCACACTAGAGAAATATACAAGAAAGCATGAGTTTTGTTGCCTAGGGATTGCAAAATAGTGCTGTAGTTTTGGATTTATCCCCCTATAAAGTGGAAGAAAAACCCCTTCCCTGTGTAATCATTGTCCTTTGACATTCCTGGTTACATGAAAATAAATCTTTACAATGCTTGAGTCTGTTATTAATGCTGAAACCTTAATATGTTTTCTTGATAGAACATGACTATCTAGTTGAGCAAGTAAAAATCCTCTCTCTCTCTCTCTCTCTCTCTCTCTCTCTCACACACACACACGCACACACACACACACACATGCAAACACTTTTTTGCCTACAGTATTTCTTTCTATATAAAACTTTTCCTGATCTAGACATATGGGAGTTGATGGAGGAGCAGAGGAAGCTGAAAGGGTTTGCCTAAGCTAATTCCAGACCAAGCTGAATGGTAATTATACACACCATAAGGCAATTTCATTAACATATTAATTTCACGAGGTAACATGTATCTAGGAGAAATACACTGGAAGTCACAAGACCTAGATTCTATTTCTAGCTTTGCCACTGACCTTCTGGATGACCTTGCATAAGTCATTCCACACTCAAGAGACTCAATCTTCTCACTTACAAAAAAAAAGAATAAGAGAAAAAAGGAAAAGTCATAACCAAGTAGTTATCTGAGCTGAAAAAAATGCTAAAAAGTAAAAGGTTCATCTAGTGTGGCTGGCAAGGGATATGATAAAACCTTCTTTACTAACACTGATTCCCTGGATTCAAGAAAACCAGATCCAAATAGAACTAAAGAGTCAAAAATTTTTCCCATTTACTTAATAGACTCTAACAATACTTTCTTCTTCAAACATCAAACTTGTTCTGTTAGAAAGTAAACGCATGCCAGGTTACAGACAAGATTTAAAATTTAAATTTTTAAACATCCAGAGAACTGTAGGGACATTGTGATACAACATACTGGCAGATCTAAATAAATAACAAGCACACACACTGTACTGCTATTGAGCACTTTGTGAAAAACTCTCGGCCTTTCAAATGATTAGGGGTTCAGTTGGGAACTGTTTAGGATAAGCAAGCTTGACGCCAAACCTTGAGAAAAGCACATTCCTCCAGTGGGAAATAATAAGATGCTCCTCACATACTTTGAAAAAAGCTTCTATTTATACTTAAGATCACTTTAGAATATGATGAGAAAATGACAAGTTAATTCCAAGTATGGGACAATTTTCTATCTTGAAAGAAAAAAAACAAAAATTTAAGCCATGGTGTGAGCAGAGCAGAGAGAAGGGGTTTTTTTTGTTTTTGTTTTTGTTTGTTTGTTTGTTTGTTTTTTGTTAGGAAAATATCTAATTCTTTCTTTAAAAAGAAAAGTAACACAAATATCCACTTCCTAAAATAAAAGATATTAAAATTTTCAGAACGACTAAATAGACTAATGGATCCTGAGGGGTTAAAAATATTAGGAGAGGGATGGTGATATAGCTCAGTGGTGTAAGTGCCTGCCTGGCAAGCACAAGGTTCCGAGTTTGATCCTCAGTACCTTCCCCCAGAAAAAATAAATAAATAAATAAATAAATAAATTATATATATATATATATATTAGGAGAAAGAACTAGTAAAAATGCTTTCAACAAATAATGACAAGCATTTAAACTGTCTACTTATTGAAAAGGAATAACAAGGAGGAACATGACTTGGGCATAGGAAATTTTGATTTATGTAATTATAATGGAAACCTGAAACTGTATTAAAAATCAGAATAATGTGTTAATCTAACATCCAAGAAAAATCACAGCTTTCTAGAGTAATTTGTTTTCTGCAGCATCAAATACTAAAAGTTTTCTAACCAAATTTTATTCCTATTAATTTCTCCTACATTAACTGCTCAAAGTCCTTGAAAATGATAGCATCTATTTCTATTGTTTTATACTGTCTGAAAATAAGTTATTCAAATATTTTACTATAACCATGAAAAGCATAAAATGTAGTATTCGTTCACAAAACTGTAGACACACACACAACTTAAGAGATCTTTCATTGAAAACTTGTCAGCCATTCTGTACAGACACATGTTAAGACAGAGCGTCTAAGTGCATTGCTGGAGGTCGTAGGGCTACTAAATGGTATGCTTTCTTTCATTCTGCCAACACATTATCTCTGACAAGCCACACAATGCAGTTTCTTGATCTATCTAAATTACAACATTAACTACAGCAAAGAGTATTCAAATATAAGCACACAAATTTGATACATGTTAACATATCATTTCATGTTCCAGAGAGCTTAAATTGTCATTATTAATGAAAGTCCAATAAAAAAATGCTCAACCTCAAAGCAAAATATTTTTAATTCAATTTACTTACGAGAAAGGCATCAAGAAAGATAAAGAACACATGCTGGCAAAATTACCACACAGCTATTTCAGGGCCAAGTAAAATATCCCTAGCAAATAGTTAACTGGACAAAAATAAACTGAAAACTTAAAAACTAAAAACAATAAAAATGAAACATTTCTTTACAAAAAAACTTAATTGTTTGATCTGTCATGTCTCGAGTAAATTAAAACATGACCTTTGACTTAACAGAATGCACTAGTTAACAGTTAACTATTAAAAGCCAAGTTCAGAAATAAACATTAGAGCTTCTAGCGTCCCCAGAACCATTCAGAATGCACTGGCAAAACCTGTGCTTTAAAGCATTCATTTTCGGTACAACAGCTTTGATTATTTAAGGCGTTTAACAAAATGTCTCTTATTTGGTGTATTTGCAAAAAAGGCTTAATATGGCTACAGCGCACGGTGCATATTTCACCTCATAAAGTAAAGTGCCATGAGTAAAGCAGGAAAAGTAATCTTAACAAAAAACTAATAAGTATTTTTCATACATGGGGTTGATTACATTAATTATTAACAGAAAGCACTTTCGGGGGAATTAATGGAAAGTTTTTCTTAAGTAAACAGAAAGAAGCTCAGTAGGAATAGGTATTACCCGATGATGATGAACCAGTACCATATGTTTGAAAAGTAAAACATTTAAATACTGCATTTATGCGTGAAGGATGGGTACACTGCCAATGATACTGAAACAAAGAAACTGTTTCTTAGCAGACAAATGTACATCAGAGTAACTAGAACATGTCCTATTGACATAAGGGCAAATAGGCCTGCAGTGACAGCACTAAAAAAAAAAAAAAAGGAAAATTAAAAGCTTCTAAATACAATCTCTACATCACAATGACCTGACCTACAGACCAAAGTATTTTTACATGCATGTTTTTACTACATAGTCTAGAATACCATTTTGTTAAGTTCCAATAATCTTGTAATTATCCATGGCCTCAATGAATTATAATCTTTCTCAGGGGTACCAAAGTGTCTAACAGTAGTAAGCACACAGTAATGGGAAAAAAAGAACAGCAAGAAAACTCAAAGGAAAAAAGGCGAAAGAAGTCACATACCCTTTTCTGTAGAACTATGGGAGTTATTGCAGGCAGAGTGACTCTTCTCGCACTCAGACTCATGCCTGCTCTTCCTACAGCGATCCCCTCTGGTAGATCAGCGACGAAATGAAAGAAATCTTTAACAGCTACTCCTTGGGAATCTCAAGGCTCAGCGCAAAGAAACAGCTAGAGTGGTAATAAATGTCACCCTGCTTATGTGATTCCAATCTACCCAAAGCCAATTAAGGATGGCTGCAGGACAGGACAAGGCAGCAACCAATCAAAGCCCAGAAAACCCTGCCTTTGTCCTTGGAAACACATTCTGATACTTTTGTTTATGATATTTAAAGAACCAGATTAACAGGCATCTAGTTCGCTTAACTTTTTTTTCCAAAACAGTGCAATTCAATGCCATCTTTGTTGACTAGGCAGTTATGTTTTCACTAAGCCGTTTCAACATATGGCAGATAAGAAACTATTTACATTGGTCTTTTTAAATATATAAATATGTAAATGAGCTGTATACTTGTACTATTTATAAAATAAATAAATGGATAAACTGGAAAATATATAAGTTATAAATATCCTGAAGTTAGAACTGATATAAACTGTTAATTTATATGTTATAACAGAAGATTTTTAAATACATATTCATAATTTCATCTTTCAAGCAGCTAAAAATTTTACATAATGGACCTGCCAGCTATCCTAGAGGTCTCACACTGGTAAATATTACCTAGTGAAACTATGCTAACAATTAGGCTAAGTAATACTTTTAAATATAAAGAGTACTAAGCTACAATATCTGAATCTGAAATATGTTTTATGCATATCTGTATAATTTAATGTATTTCATTCACTTAAAAACTCTTAAAAATAGCTATTATTCAAAGCTATCTTAAACCTTGTATAACTACTTTGCATTTTGGTAGTTGGTAGTGGGGGGATATTGGTTTTTTGTTTTGTTGTTTAAATCATTTATTTATTCATTTATTTGGTACAGGGTCTCACTACATAGCACAGACTCAGTGATCCTCCTGTCTCAGCTTCCCCAGTGCTGCAATTACAGGTGTGTGCTACCAAACCCGGTTTCAGTATGGTACCAGGGATTGAACCCAGGTCCTTGTGCTTGCCAGGCAGGCGCTTAGACCACCAAGCTATCTCTCCAGCCCAGGGATATTGTTAATATAAAAAAACACAATCATCTATTTTAGGAGCATTAATTTGATCCTTATTAATTAGGCTTCTCCTGATCTTGCTTTTTTTTTTCTCTCTCTCTCTCTACTTTTCTGAGACAGGGTCTGTGTAGTTCAAGCTGGCTGTGAACTCAGTTTGTGGTCCAGGCTGGTCTTGAAATTGCAGTGATCCTTCTGCTTCAACCTCCCAAGTACTGCCCGGCTTGTTGTCTCTCTTTGAGACAGTCTCATTATGTTGCACAGGCTGACCTTAACTGAGTTTACAAACCTCTTGGGCTCAGCCTCCCAAATAGGATTATAGCCACGGGCTACCCTCACCATCTTTTTAAAGGAAATTACCAAGAAAAATCTATTCATATAAGAATGAGTGGTTACTGTATGTGTGCAGTAAAAGACTCTAGCCATTTAGCCAAAAATAATAAAGCCATAATAACTTTGCAATTTTCAGGCTATCCATGTTTTACTTTTTCTGTCTTTTTCCATTTAATTTTGAATATTACAAAATATCCCAGTTTTCAAAAATCTCACTGAGGTTCCACCATAATCAAAGCCATTTACTTCACTAAATTATGAAACAAAGAACCCACTATGTGTAACTACTCTGTTGGATAGTAGGAACAAACCATCGCATACCACTGGTCGTTGTTTCATAATGACAGAGAGTTTAATAGTTTTTAAACTAAAATATCATATTTGTAGTGATTTGACACTAGTAGTGATTAAATTCCAAATATCAGAGACTCATCAAGGAAGGTAAAAAATATACATTGGGGGTGAAATCAGGGTAGCTTTCAAGAAAGAAATTACTTTTATTTTGCAAAGTGATTAGCTGGGCCAGCCAGATAGCTCCGCAGACTACAAAGCGCCTGCTTAGGCAGAGCGCAGTGGCCAAAGTTCAATCCCTGGTGTGCTGTGCCGGCCCCGCCCCCAGGGGCGTGCTGCGACTGGGTGTGGTGGTACGCACCTGTAATCCCAGCTCTTAGGAAGCTGAAAACAGGAGATCAGTATGAGTCTGATCTGCATAATGAGACTCTGTACCAAATACATTAAAAAAAAAAAAAAACATAAAAAAAGAAAAGTGATTAGGAAGGAAAGAAAACACATAATCTGAAAAACGATGTGAACATAAGTTAAAGTTTCAAATCTGACTTTGAAAGGTTGAAGTCTATGAAATGGAGAAGTTAGAAATGGTTTGCTGCACACTATTGGGCTTGGTAACCACACAATTAATCCCTCATGTCAAAGCAGTGCCCAGACCCTGTGCCCATCACAGTGTACTATACCTGCCCAAGGGCTTAAAAAAAACCTGACCGACAACTGTTCAAGTGTAACAGGTCACCTTTTTGGAACACTTGGAAACTGAAGTACTTAAATTTTCAGTGAAAAGCATGAAGAAAAAATACTGACCTTTTGTAAGTGTGTCACCAAAAAGGTAATTGTCTTTGAAAAATGAAACTCACATTCAGCCCAGTCAAATACTGAAAGACTAATGAGGAGGCACGCACTCCAGACAGGCAGAGCTGTTTTCAGTAATCCTTTTCAGGTGTTCATACTGACTGTGTTTCATCTTGCTTCCTAGTTATTTTAGACAATGATTCAAAATTTAAGTTTAGCCTGTCCTTTTTATCATTATTTAGTGTAAGTGATATTGTCACTCACTAACCCTGTCATTTGAGTCTTTATTTTCTTCAGCTGCAAAAAGGAATTCAAAAACAGACAAACAAAAACCCAATCTTTCAGAACTGCTGTGAACAACCAGGAAATAAAGCTTGGGTGGGCCTGGGAGAGACCAAGACAAGCGCTGAAGAACTATTATTTACACTCTTCCTACAAAGAGTTGCACCAGGCATATATTCTCCTCCTTAGATAGGTGTTTCAACTCCCAAAATGACATTTTGATGGGAGAGGGATTTTCGGCACTTTACAGAGTCAACAATGGAGTGTTATAAAATAATACTGAACATTATTTCAATTTTGGCTTAAATTTTTGGTAGAATAAATTTTGTCAAAGAATATGCCTATAAGTGTTTAAACTGAGAACAGCAAGCATAACTATTATGATAGCTAACAATAATATTTATGTGAGTATCTAATATGAATGAGGCAGTGGACTTTTTCCTTTTTATGTATGTGGTACAGGGCCTCAGTACGCAGCTCAGGCTCACAGTGATCCTCCTGTTTCCAGCCTCCCCAGCACTGGGATTACAGGGCTGCACCACCCCACCGTCCTTGGACTCATTTTAATTTAGCTTGAGAGAGGCAACTATGAGAGAGGCACCAACTAGTCAACAGATGACAAAACTAACTGCAGAAGAGCAGATGCCTAAGAAACAATGCCAATGATGAGCCCACACTGCAGAAGTACCTCCCTGAGTTCACGGTGTCTCTACGTAGACAGGCCAGGGTGAAAGCTCCGTGTGATCCCCTTCAAGACACTGCACTGCACCACTCTACGGTCTTCCTCTCCACAGTGCGCTACACAGTTTGTGATAACCTTAGCAAGCAATGTCATCTCATCTGGCCCTTATTTCTGACGTACCCATGCACTGTCAGTTTCATTAAGACACTTAACAGCTATGTACTCAGGGCCTTACAGAGTGAGGCCTATTCTATGTACGCCAGGAAACTTCATAGTTAATAACTTCCAATTCCTATTTACCAAGGGAGCTGACTCATGGCAACAAGTAAACACTTAGTCCAAACAGTGTTGGAGGCTGATCTGGGCAGAAGAGGATGCCACTTTAGCACCAGCCCATCTGTCAAGTCACACAGGCATCTTTCAAGCTTCACTCACACAGTTTCAACAAAAGCTCCTGCAGTTCTCATGAACAAGTTCTGCTTAGCCTGCCTCTTTGCTCATAACTGACATCAGCTCACTCAGCACCATAAACCTTTCACAGCCCACTGAGTCCTACCACCTCTGAAAGTTTCATTTTTTTTTTAACTGCATCCTTCAAGGCTCTGTCTTTTCCACAGCATAAGTTAACTTACAACGCAGAGAAAGAGAAGGAAAGAGAAACAATAAACACATGACAACTGCCTACTGTGAGGCATTTTACATGTTACTTCATTATATTCAAATAACCCTGCAAAATATGTATCAGTTAATCCCATTTCATAAATTCAAACAATATCTACTCTTTTATACTATCAGTTTAATTTTCAAGCAGCTCTTAATGGAATGTCAGCTATTGGCCCTTATTCTGTGACTTCATATAATTTTGCATGAGGGCTCTTTGAGGGCAGAAGTACAATCCAATTGCTCTCTAAGTTTCATATATTCTCTATCCAGTGGCTTTATACTGGAAAAACAAACTACAACATGCAAGAACGTTTTCTGATTACCAAATACCATAAATATTTTTGTCATCTGTTGACTAGCTAGTGCCTACCTCATAGTTGCACAAGCTAAATTACAATGAGTCCAAGACCAGATGTGGTAATGCACCCCTGTAATCTCAGCACTGGGGAGGCTGGAAATAGGAGGATCACTGCGAGTATGAGCTGCGTAGTGAGTCCCTGTACCACATTTAAAAAGTCCAGTGCTTCATTCATATTGCATATTCACATATCATAAGATCATAAGATGCACCTTGCTTTGGCATCTCATATCTCCACACATTGGGCCACTGTGCTACACATCCACGTGGCTCCATGCACATCCAGGCGCGCTGTCTCCTTCAAAGACTCAGACCAATATTCACTCTACCAGGAAGTCACCCCAGCATTAAATTATATCACCCCTGCTTTGTATGCTCTTAGGAGTTAAATTTTTCAATCTCCCGTATTTTGACCCACCCTTACTAGTCCACTGTCTTGGTCACTTATTCATCTTTTCACAAACACTGGATTTTGTGCGAAGGAAAATATAATCTTGAGGAACAGAAGTCAGCTCTTACCTCCTCTGCTTCTCTCAGAATCCTAGCAGAGTGTTCCCAGCATGCCTTAGGCAGTATGCTCACACACAACCAATGTGGAAGGATTCGTCTCTCTAGTCACATCACAGACCAGCCTTCTTCAGGTAACAACTGCAAGTCTTATCAGTTACTCTAAACAAA